TCCTCGGGTCGCTGGATGGGCAAAGATGGACAGCAGAAGCAGATGGTGAGAATGAAAAACAATAGCTACACTGTGTGAAAAAGTATTTGACAGGTAATCCAAAATAGCACATTGATTTCCTCTTCCATTTATCCACAGCCTATGTGTGACAATCATGATGATGGAGAGACGGCAGCCATAATCCTGTGCAACATGTGCGGCAACCTCTGCACCGACTGTGACCGCTTCCTCCACCTGCACCGCCGCACGCGCTCTCACCAGAGACAGGTGAGGGTCGGCTTGATCTGCTGCTGATAAGTAGTTAATGAATACAATAAAATGAGCTTTTGTTTAATTTAATTTGAATGTTTTTTGTAGGTGTTCAAGGAGGAAGAGGAGGCCATAAAGGTGGATCTCCATGAAGGCTGTGGGAGGACTAAGCTCTTCTGGCTCATGGCTCTGGCCGACTCTAAGACTATGAAGGCTATGGTGGAGTTCAGAGAGCACACAGGTAATGAAGCAGATCATGCCACTGTTCTTCTGATAGTAGATTAATATAAGTATTGTTGCAAATGGGTAATCTGCTTAAGTTGCGCAGTTATATTTACAGTAATGTCATTATTTCTGCAGGTAAACCAGCCTCCAGCAGCTCAGACGCCTGCAGGTTTTGTGGTACGAGGAATGGGACGGAGCTGTCTGCAGTGGGCAGCGTCTGCTCAGATCCAGACTGCCAGGTAATAAGCATCAACTTCTCTGATTGAGCAAGTCTTATACACATGATACATTTAAAGTAATGTAGAGTTACAGTAGTGGTAAAGTGAACATGTTATATGTACTGTTTTGCCTCACCAGTTTCTCTGTTGTTTTCTCCCCCTAAGGAATACGCTAAACTGGCCTGCAGTAAAACTCATTCCTGTGGACACCCCTGTGGAGGAGTCAAGAATGAGGAGTCCTGCCTTCCCTGTCTGCACGGCTGTGACAAGAACACTAGCTGTCTGAAACAGGATGCAGACGACATGTGTATGATCTGCTTCACAGAGGCCCTCTCTGCTGCTCCTGCAGTACAGGTAGCTCTAAATATACATGCTAGTTATGTGGAAGAGTTCTTGTCTTTATTAAGCTTGCTCATTAACTCGTTGTTTTCTTCTCAGCTGGACTGCACTCACGTGTTCCACCTTCAGTGTACTCGTCGTGTTCTTGAAAATCGCTGGCTCGGGCCCCGAATCACGTTTGGGTTCATGTTGTGTCCCATCTGTAAGGTAAGATGTTACCTGAAGCAGTAGAGTGCTTACATGCTTTGTTAAGCAAAGCTGCTGTGTGACTGTATGATTGATGTGTTCACAGTCTTCATTGGGAAATGCCTTTGCCACATACAATAACCTGTTGTTTGCCTCCAGAACAAAATCAATCATTCGGTGATCAAGGACCTGCTCGACCCCATTAAGGAGCTTTATGATGACGTGAGGAGAAAGGCTCTGATGAGGCTGGAGTACGAAGGTCTACATAAGAGCGAGGCGATAACTACACCAGGAGCCCGATTCCACAACGACCCTGCAGGCTTTGCCATGAACAGATATGCATACTATGTCTGCTTCAAGTGCAAGAAGGTACTGTATAACATTAAGTCATATGTAAAATGAATGTTGGTCAGGAGTTGAAAATTAATTTATGGTTGCCCTTTTACCCAGGCCTATTTCGGAGGAGAGGCTCGGTGCGACGCGGAGGCGGGACAGGGCGATGACTACGACCCCAGTGAGCTGATCTGTGGAGCATGCTCAGATGTCTCCAGGGCTCAGGTGGGTCGATTACTATAGCCAATAGTTTGGGCATTTTGGAAAGTGTGAGATGAGAAGATTGGTACCACTCTTATGTTAATCCACATACCTTTGCCCAAAGACTTAACATTGGGGAAGCAGCTAGCCTACCTCAGTGACAACCTTAACCTTAATCACTGCCATTTTGTGAAAAACAAATACCTAATTTTCACACTGCAGGGCAGCTCCTATGTTCGCTTATTTATGGTTTCAAGCATAACCTTTCTTCATCAGACTCATGTGGCCAATGTAAAACATGATACAGTCACATGAAGAAATCCCTTAAGCTGGGTATCTATTGTGACCATTTAAAAAGAAATGCTGCTTATATTTACTCTTTCCCTGATGATTCTTGTTTACTTTTCACCAGATGTGCTCCAAACATGGCACAGACTTCCTGGAGTATAAATGTCGGTACTGCTGCTCTGTGGCCGTTTTCTTCTGCTTTGGCACCACACACTTCTGCAACGCCTGCCATGATGACTTCCAGAGGATGACCAGTGTCCCCAAGGAGGAGCTGCCTCATTGTCCTGCAGGTGCTTAGCTATGCATTAACTTCTGTACAATTTTACATTTATCAGACTTTTTGCAAATACCAAACAGAAATAACTATTAAGAGATAATAATTGAGATGTTATCCTCTTCCTTTCTATCACAGGGCCCAAAGGCAAGCAGCTGGAGGGTACAGAGTGCCCTTTGCATGTGGTTCACCCACTGACGGGGGAGGAGTTCGCCCTGGGCTGTGGGGTGTGCAGAAATGCCCACACCTTCTAACCAACAGAAGACTCTTATTTGAAAACCAGTTTGTCTACTGTGATTTCTGGCTGCTGCTGAAGCTCAGCCGTGAAGCTTGGCTCTTGCATTGTCGGGTCTCCTGGACTGGATCAGGTTTCCTCCCTACGCTGAGAGTCCTCAGGTCTGCTCTTCTACCAACATCAGTAACATGGGGCTCTGATACCATCCTTGAGATTCAGAGTTACCTGAATGGGAAAAAAAGGAACAATAGATTTTAAAAAAGAAGAAAAAAAAAGAAAATATCTTGTGACGTGTTTGCATGCGGCCGTTGTATTCCCTCGGCTTCTATAGACGTTGCACACCTCCTGATCACTGAAGTGTATCAATACCAGATTTAACATTGAATATGAGAGGAATTTGCTTAAAGGCAACTGTGGATCAGCGTGGGTTTAAAAAAAAAAAAAAGGAACAGGCCGTATTTCCAGCTTCCTAACTATACATTTAAATTTAAATATTGTTGTATGTAAACTTTTTTCGTAATCTTGTACAGTATTCTCCACTGTCAAGTGCATCATGGGTTGACGGACAAAAAAAGAAGGTGGAAAAGACTGTTAAGAATATTATGTTTGGGAGGAAAATAGTGTACGATTTATCTAATCTTGTATATATGATACTATTCAAAATAGCTGTATTCCGAAGTTGCTACTCTTCACTTCAGTTTTGTTTGATATTCTGGGTTATGTTTTGAGCCAGAACTTTTAATGAAGTGCAATACTGGGTGTGCCTCCTATTTTGCAGCTGTTTAACCTATGGAATGTATGTCAATAAAGCCACTGTACATTTTTATACAGTAGACAGTCGTAATTCCCCCTCTTCTTAATGTCAGATCTCTTCTGTTGTCTGGATATGAAAAGGTTGAGCCTGACGCCCGCAGTGAATGATAGTGGATGTAAATCTTATTTGGAGCTCTGTCAAAACATGAAAAATTACCAAAATCCTACAGTAATACAAAACAAACAAAAGACCTCACAGTGAGACTGAATACGGCTGAGTGATACGAGGGGCCAGTCTTCACACCAAATACAATTGTGCACCTGTAATGTTTTTCCCTAGTAGGAGGCATCGGGATCGGGGGGGTCAGGGGAACAGTGTGGAAAAAAGCTGCTGTTATATAAAAGCTTAATACTTGTGAATCTGCTCTGTAATATCTGTGGTGGATGGAGTTGAATGGTAATAAACCAGGTTCTCTGTTTCGCAAAGTATACACTGTCATTCATGAGTGGTGACATTCCCATTAAATTACCTACAGTCACTGTTGGCCTTTGATTGTTTTATATGGAACACATGCAATGTAAAATCTTGCTAGAGATTCAAATTGTTCATTATTTCTGTAAATATCTTCTTTGAAAGGCTGAAAGATAAGAAAATATAAAAATGTATTTCTTGTGATGCCTGTACACCTTTTTAAGGGCTCCGTTACATGCCGGTGTGATCCAAGTTTTTCCTAATATATGCATTTTTGCTGTTTGTTACTAAAATCCATGTTTGCATGGAGAACTTGTGTACGAGGGCTTTGTAATGGGCTAAAGTTGTTCTATTTTAATGGTTGCTTTTGGATATTTTGCTTTACTACTTTTTATATTGACTTCATAAATATTGAGGTTAAGATATGAGCAGTGGTGTAAAGTCAGTACATTTACTAAAGTACAATACTTAAGTACAATGTTGAGATACTTGTACTTTACTTGAGTTTTTCCATATTTTGATACTTTGTACTTTCCTTCCCTACATTTATTTGTTACCTTTAGTTACTTTACAGATTTTGATCAAGATCTGAGTACTTCTCCCACCTCTGGATATTAGTGACTGAGAGACAGTAAAGTTGAGGAATAAAACAATTAAAATGACCAAAGTAAACCACTGAAAAAAAACTGGAGAGTCTACCGAGGAAAATTATTTCATAATCCAAATGGGGTTTTAAAAAATAAAAAACACAGTAGCCTAGGCTACATATTCATCAAGATTATAGCAACTGTGACATGAAGACATTTAGTTTTTTGCCTTATTTTTGTATTATGAAACGGGGCTTAAAGAATATTATAGTAAATTAAGTGTGAAAAGCTTTGGACACTTTCAACATCCTTTTTTTGTTGTGCCTTTCACACATATATCCACAATTGCATAAGGCATAAATAGCATACTTTATAATTGTGTGAAAATTATAACCTTCATCTCTATTACCTAATATTGAAGATACACCTAAAGCAGAGACTTTTAGCTGCATTTGTGCATTCAGAAACGGGTCCTTATGCATCAGGTAAATCGTCTTCAAATAAATCCGCAACACCGTTTGTATTTGTGATATTCTCGTAGTTTATATAGTTTGAATTGTTTTTATAATGACAGATTTGATTATGTGTTATCACACTCAGGTGAGTCATCAACTGAACAGAGGCGATGTTTACCAACAGCCATTTCGCATTGTACCTCCCATGATGCACCGCTGCTGTCACAACAACAACTCCATTTCAGAATCAGGGGGGCCGAAACTCCCACCAAGGATTTAAGTCAACCTGTTGGATGAGACAGACTCGCCGCTTTTATTCATTCAGAAGAACACCTCTTACCTCTTCTCTATCGTCAAACGGCTTAGTTGTTATCTTCCGATGCGTTTTATTCGGTTGTCGCGAGTGAGCTTTTCCAGCTTGGGCCCGGGCTGAAGTGTCAAAAGTGTTGAACGGATTTTCCTGCTAACTGCTAGTCGGCTAGCTGAGTGTAAACATCAAGGTAGGATGGGTCGCCAAGCTTGCAAGCTGTGTGTGTTGCCATTATGTCAATCAAGTCTAGAGTATTGCATGAAACAAGTGTCATATAGAGGTAAGGGTTTGCCTAATAGGTAGCTTTAAATGTAATGTATTTTGGTTCAAACTAATAAGCTACTTAAGTGTACTGCGGCTTGTATTTGCGCTGTCAATGTAAACAAAGTAATGCATTCAATTAACCTTTGCATTAATGCACATAGGAAAGTTACATTGTCAGCTTTTTATTACAGAATTAGATGTTGTCCTGCTTTATTATATCAGTATATTGACGACTAGCGTTATATTGATGGCCTCCACCGGCTCATACAGATACACATCACATCTTATACGGACACCTTTCTTCTAAAATAAGCAGTCAGATATCACAATACTGTGGGATTTAACAATTTCGAGAATGTGAGAATGGCAGTGATTTTACATGAACATAAGCCTCAGCTTTATTTGCAAGATATATGTAACCTTACAAATTAAATGATTATTTTTTCATTTTTTGCTGATCTAATTTAACTCGTATACATTCAGATGATTCATCGTTAATCATGCTGTGCTGTAATGGTGCAAAATGCAAATATGCTGTGATAAGTATTGAATGACTAATGCAACAGGTTGTTTTTTATACACGGATTTATCCAGCATATGCGTACACATATTACAATTACATAATATTCAGTGTATAATTTCCTTTTTGATACATGACAAGGACACACACACACACACACACACACACACACACACACACACACACAACTTGTGTTTAAAACAGGCAACCTGAAACTCACTTTTTGGATCTACTTTCAAAATCGTTGAGTTTGATAATCAATATTGCTGCTGTGTAGTTTGACAGGCTTGTGCTTTGTGCTGCTGGACTATAACAAGCTCTATTTTTCCAGGATGAAGCGTATTAAAGGAGGAGAGGAGGAGAGCAAAAGCTCCACCAGTAAGAGCCCCACTGAGGCCTGCAAGAAGGTGCGGAAGCAGACGGACGAGGAGTCGGAGGCAGCGGAGGTCGGAGAGTTTTCGGGGATTGACTGGGCCCGCTTGCCTCAGGAACTCCTGCTCCACCTCTTTCAGTACCTTCCCCTGCTGGACCGGGCCTATGCCTCTCAGGTGTGCCGCAGGTGGAACCAGGCTTTCCACATGCCGGAGCTGTGGAGATGCTTTGAGTTTGAGCTCAACCAGCCAGCCAGCTCTTACCTGAAAGCCACACATCCAGACCTCATCAAGCAGATCATAAAAAGGCACTCCAACCACCTGCAGTATGTCAGCTTCAAGGTAACGGCGGAGAAAGATTTTGTGTGTCAAAACCAACGATTCTGGGCGTGTTACGGCCATCTGGTCAGACATTGTTGTTTTAATGTTCCTGAGGTGATGATTAATCTCTGTTTGTACCTTCCAGGTGGACAGCAGTACAGAGTCTGCAGAAGCAGCATGTGACATCCTCTCACAGTTGGTGAATTGTTCACTAAAGACCTTGGGGCTCATCTCTACAGCCAGGCCCAGTTTCATGGAGGTTCCAAAGGTATAAATAGCACAAACACACAACGTATATCTGTGTCAGATTTTCAAGGAAAATCAAATGAACGATACTCTTATAAAGCTAATGCCTTTCCATGGTGGATCGTTCAGTGTTTGGCGGAGCCTGTTAATTGTCAGTGGACAGAATAGCGTTTCATTCTCTTCTTATCAGAGGACGGGGCTGAAAAGCAGTCTCTGTTCCCATTCATTGCAAAGAACAAGGATTCCATTACTTCGAAGGCCTCAGAAGGACACATGATGTTCTCTGGGAAGTTTTATTTTGTCTCTCTTAGTGCACTGTGATCTTCTTCCTATAAACACTTGAAAGCCATTCTGTCCCAGGAAGTTATCACCAGTGTGTTATATCATTGATTTGGTCATTAACACATGAAACGTTCACCTACATGTACAGTCAAGTTTATGTGTGGATCATACATACTTTACTTATCATACTAAGATAGGAAGTAATTATTGTCCAGTACAAACCTGAGAAGTCTATGAGTGTTACAGCAACCAAATGGATACACAAAAACATTGTAAATCTGTGTGTAACTGAACAAAAACAAATATGCATAAATATTACTCGCAGCACATATGGTCCACCATCAATCCCAATATAATTGATTTTAAATATGCCCACTCAAATCTGAGACCTGCCATCTTGGTTGCTACTTCTCAAGCTAATTCATGATGACTCTTTGTCCTTCCACAGTCTCATTTCATCTCAGCTCTGACGGTGGTGTTTGTCAACTCCAAATCGCTGTCCTCGCTGAAGATTGACGACACGCCGGTGGATGATCCGTCTCTGAAGGTGTTGGTGGCAAACAACAGCGACACGCTGAAGCTACTGAAGATGAGCAGCTGTCCTCACGTCTCCCCCGCAGGTACAGTGAGCGCTCGGACTGCTGCAGCTGTTTCAGTGATCAGGTCGGGAGAAGCAGCCTCCTCATGTTTTTGTTTTGATATTTTCAAGCCATATTCACCTTGTACTTTCAGTCATATTTTTTATTTAGTTTTTCTGAATCACAAGGTTGTACTTTTTTTATTTTTTATTATAGTGGCTTTTTCAGAGCCTTATTAATCTTATCATTTTCTTATCATTCTTCATCTTTCATACATTTTCCTGGAACTGTTTTTAAATGTCAGCTATGATAAAGACTGATAAGATAAGATAAGAAGTATTTTATTGATCTGAATTTGGGAAATGTTTGCGATGCAGCAGCATAAAAAGACAAGGCATTGTACATTAGAGAAATTAAAAGACTAGAAATAAACAATCCAAAATGTAAACATCTAAAATAGAAATAAAATAGCATAAAAAAAAGTAGAAAATATGTTGAAATACAAATTTAAAGCACCAAATTATAAAAGCAGGATATTATGTATACGTTAAGTGTGTAAGGAATGTAATATTAAATTGAATATAAATGTACATTGTGATTTTAAGTTCAGTTATCCAAGAGAAGCTATGGAGCAGAGAGTTCTCTTCCAGCCAGTGGAGATTTGTTATATAGAGTTATTGCAGTAGGCAGGAATATGTTCCTGTATCGGTCATTGTGACAGCCTATTCAACTGTAATCTTGTCTAACAAAACATTACACACCATAAAAACCCATGATGAATTTGAGATCATTTAGAAAAACAACAATCTGTCTATATTTGCAGGCATCCTGTGTGTGGCAGACCAGTGCCACAGCCTCAGAGAGCTGGCACTGAACTACCACCTCCTGAGTGACGACCTGCTGCTGGCTCTCTCCTCGGAAAAACACGTCCACCTGGAACACTTGCGGATCGACGTGGTGAGTGAGAACCCCGGCCAGCACTTCCACACCATCAAGAAGAGCAGCTGGGACGCCATGGTGCGCCACTCGCCCAAATTCAACCTGGTCATGTACTTCTTTCTCTACGAGGACGAGTTCGGCCCCTTCTTTAACGAGGAGATCCCGGTCACGCACCTCTACTTCGGCCGCTCCGTCAGTAAGGAGGTGTTGGGCCGCGTGGGCCTGCACTGCCCCCGCCTGGTGGAGCTGGTGGTGTGCGCCAACGGCCTGCGTCCTCTGGATGAGGAGCTGATCCGCATCGCTAAGCACTGCACCCAGCTGTCCGCCATCGGGCTGGGCGAGTGCGAGGTCTCCTGCAGTGCGTTCGTGGAGTTCGTCAAGATGTGTGGCAGGAGGCTCTCCCAGCTGTCCATCATGGAGGAGGTGCTGATCCCAGATCACAAATACTCCCTGGATGAGATCCACTGGGAGGTTTCTAAGCACCTGGGCAGGGTCTGGTTCCCCGACACGATGCCCATCTGGTAAAGAGAAGCCGAAGAGGCACGTCTAGTTTGTGGTGGCCTCCATGTTTGCATAGAAAAGCCTTTAAATGCTCAGCTGTAGTGGAATGTGTGGTGCCAACATGGAGAGCGTGAACTGAACTCTGGTCTGGATGTGATGTAATTGCTACACAATGTTTTCATGCCATGCAAACAACCCCAAACATCTCTGCCTGTTAGCTTTACTATAGACTGTGGAACCCCGCTTTGCCTAATCTGGAGACGGGACTCGCCAGGCGACTTCTTTATATTAAACAAACGGCACACAGAACAGAGCAGGTGGAAATATCCCACTAGAAAAACAATGTTCCTGTAACTATACATGTAGTTATACGGACATTGTTGACTTATTATGATGAGAGATGTGTGTTTGTGTATGTATGCATATGTGAGTGTGTGTTTTTATTGTTTTTTTTAACATTGTGGATTCATTTGGGAAGATCAGGTTCACAATTGCTTGTTGTTACACTACCGCTTGGCCTACTTTAATCCAGTCCAGCAGCTTGGCACTATTAACAAGATATCCCGTCTCCAAATGGCTGCAATGTTATGTGCACAGTGTGTGAGAAATGGTGTTTTGTCTCATGTATGAGAGGGTTTAGTCTATTTGCACAGTTATTAAGAGACATATACCAACAATAGAAAACACTAAGTTCAGTGCAGGAGAGTCCTCCCCGTTGATACAGAATGACATTAATACTCATCAGAGACAAAACAGAATACAGCACAACACAATCTATACTCAAAAGAAAGCATAAACGTAGCAAAAGAAAAGCAGACCTAGGATAAATAGATATGTGCAACCAACAGAAGAATATTGCTATATGTTTAAGATGAAGTGAGAAATGTATAACTGCCCTACAGCTGGTGAGGACGATAACGGTTTCAGTTTCAAGGGGAAGGATTCACATGGTATTTAAGCAGAAGAAATACAATTATTAAGAGTAGCAGTTTTGTGCTTTCCCTCCTCGCTTGATCTTCATAATAACACACGATGATTAAAACAGTTAAACGTTGACTAAGGGAGAAGTGAAATGTGTATATAGGTCTATTTTTGTAACGTGAAGGTGTGCAGTATTGATTATTGTCATGGATTTTGTTGTTTTCTCTAAAGTATGTTGATGTTTGTTGTTTTTTTCTGCTACATGCATACATTGGCTTGACGAATTATTTTCCCAAGTTTTGTTTTAAAGAAGGTCTCTGCACAGTCTTACATTTCCCTGAGCACTTTACGTGAATACCAAATGAATGTTATTTTGTCCTTTTGAAAGCACAGAAACAGTATTTTATAAAGCCCTCATTTTGTAGTTCGACCCAGATTGTAATGATAATTCACAGTGTACTGAGTCAGTGCAGTATAGTGATGTTAACAAGCTATAATTACTAAGTAAGAACAGTTAAATCTACTTTAATAACCTGCACAGAAATGTCTGAATTTGGAGGTTGAAATTGCTGCTTCGTAAATATTTTTGTAGACATGCAGGTATTGGCTTACAATGCATGCTGGGAATGCATATATATTTCCTAAATAGGTTTCATTTTTATCTTCGACTATGTGCCTGCCGCCTGGCCATGTCTAAACATAGCTCTATGTTGTGGATATCTGCCCTCCTGTTAGCTAACGTTAGCTCTGTATCGTGTATCGTAACGATATAGAGAAAGACGTCTTAGCAGATAAACATCAGAAAGCTAATGTGCTAATGTCAATAGCATGCGATTCTTTATACTTTGGAGAGTCAGAAGAGTGAAACTAACTTTGTTTTCCTTTAAGAAGGAAGTCAAATGCATCTGTAAATAACGCTGTGTGTTTTATTAGGAGTAGAAAAGCTATTATTTCTTTATCTCGCCCTCTGTCGGGTTTTCTTAACCATCGGCTCGTGTCTTTTATAAAACCAGAGCGCGTGTTGTCCTTTTTTTTGATGGATTATTTCATGCTGTTCTCACTAGAAAAGATAAGCTGTAATTTATTGATATGGAAACTGCTTTTGTAATTAATTTGTGTTTTTATGTTGAACAAAAGAAGCAACCTTTATAACCAGCAAGCAGACCAGCAGATTTTATTTTACACCTCCACCTCTGTCAACATGTGGTTGTTGTTCAAAAGTTTTAATTTACTACGACAAGCTTTGAATGATTCCTCAACACACTTTAACAAAGGAATGTCCTGTGTCTAATACATTATTATACGAAAGCACAACAAACCCAAAGAAATGGCTCTACGTCCGATTTAATTTATAAAAAGTGATACTAACTTGCATTGTTGTTTTTCAGTCACTTGTTCCAAATGTAGCATTATCTTAAGGCAATACAAACAAATAACTTAATTTTAATGATTTAATTCATTAAAACACTATATAATTGAACATTCTTACACACTTCATTTTAAAAGACTAAATAAAGTATACAGATCTGCAAGAAAAAACAAGAAATTGCTATCAGTCAAATCATTAAGTGTGATAAGGGATTTCACTGGAAGACATCATTAAAAAAGTAACAGAAGTGGAAAAGCTTTTGCACAACATGAATAACCCCGGTTTGGATTTTTTAAATTGTATTTGTTGTTTTTTCTGCCAGACTGCATTCCTTTTATCTATTTCTTTTTGACATGCCATGTACCTAAACAGTGGACTCATACTGAGACACTTGCTGCTTCTTAGTTGAATTCATTGCTAACAGTCTGTTGATTTGTGTCGCTCTCTTATATCACTGGCGGTAGATACCTGCGCTGACTGTCTGTGCTCGCGTGCATTAGCATCTCAGTGGTACGGTAACATATCTCCTGAATTAATTCACATTATTTGTGCAGTGCATTAAACGGGTGCCGTGACAGCAGCTCTAAAGTGAGGATTGTGTCTCAATGCTGTACTGGTTTAATCATTTTCATGTTGTCTGTATCGGACATTTCAGTTCAAATGCTGAACCGGATAATCTGTATGATGCCTCTTGTCAGTAACTGTTATTTTGACCTAAATTGTTCAGAGTCCTCCAGTAGGTTTCAGTAGCATTAAACTGGTGTTGACCATGCTGGCCTTTTAGTTTAGCTTCTGTAAGGCAAATGCTTTGTCTGATTTGCTTAACTGGTCACCTGTTTTCAAATGATTTTTTTTGTTTTGAACATGTGATCTTTTACCAGTAATAAAACATTTGTGAATGTACTTTTGTATCCGTCTTTATTATCTTCAAACACTGCAGTCTTTACCATTTGTTAAATAAAACACACAAGTAGCATCCAAGGAATTGGGCAATACATAAAGTAGGAAAAGATATGAACAATGAAAAATAAAAACTCTGTACATATATCTTTAGTTAATCTGTACAAATCTGAATGCAAAACAACCTAAGGCTGGACCTGATGTGGTTATATACTGTATGTACTGTGACATGATAACTAGGTTATTTGTTTTAATCTGTGAAATGGCTGGTAAAATATAACATGACAGTTCTCCACAAAATCACCTCCAATAGTATTTTGTGTCGGTATTTATCATTACATTTGGTTAAAAAAAACTAAATTATCTCCCTACAGAGTCTATTTAGTAGCTTTTCTGGAGCTTTTGATCATATGGCATGACCTTCATCAGAAGATCGAGTTTGTGATGGTTCTAGATATACAAATGTGTTTATCAAGCACTACAAATAATTATAGTCAATCAGTGCTTTAAAATTAAAGGCTCAAATGCAGCAGTGCACCAGCAAAGGCATGGAAGAAGGGGTAAAACATTGATGTAAACAATTACAATTTTTAGAACAAAACTAAAAGGGTTGCAAATGTTTTACAAAGTAGGAAATGCATTAACACAAATAAAAGATCCTTTAAACCCCAACACCTCTTGATAATTTAATAAGTGTCAATAATCAAGCAAAAATGTAAACGCTGGTATAAATTTATTTGACTTGAAGATTTGCAGCTTATCAGATTTTCGTTAAGATCTTTGGCTTTCGATAAAAAAAACATTATTTGCAACCATTCGTGAAAACACTCGTAAAGGTTGTATATTAAGGCAAAGGCACCTCTTCATAGGTGATCTGTATATAGGGAGGCTTCATGGGCAGATGCCAGTACTCAAAGTTGTAATAGAGGTAGAAGCTCTTTTCTAACACGACCTTCTCATACGCCTCCAACAGACTGACGGCAAAGTCTACAAACGTCTGATGGGGTCTGAATGTGTGGTAAAATGTACGGATGTCCCCTGCCAGGTTCTTCAGAGCGGGCTGTCCGAAAATGCTGCTGTCGTTGCCGAGGTAGGTGGGCTCCCCGCTGAAGAGGTAGATCTTGGTGTAGTTGGTCTGTGATTTGCTGGAGAGTTTGGCTCCCAGCTCCGTGAGTTTCCTGTACGTGCGGTGGACAAACTGCGAGCAGTCGTAGGACTCGAACCACACGGTGGCGTTAGGGCTGGGGTCGGAGCGGACTGTCCACGTCTCGTAGTAGATCCCCGTCTCGTTGTCATCCTGCACCCACTTGGCCATGTCGTTGAACTGGTTCCCTGGGAGAAGTAAAAAATACAATTACAAATTAAGTCTTTTAATACTAGCAATGTAAAGTGACAAGCAGGAAGTCCAACTAAGGGAGCTTGAATAAGTCATAAAACTGTCTCAGAGATTTTTTTACCAGTATTCTTCTGCCTTTATTTGATAGTGATAGTGGAGAGAAATAAGGAATGTGAGGAAAAAGAGTGAGCTAATGAGAAGCAGCAAACCTTCCAGCCACCCGGGAAACAAAACGATGACTGTTTAGGGAATTCGCACACATGCGGTATGCGCCCTAACCATTTAACAATCGCTCTGTCACTGCAGTTATTAGCAGAAAAGGTCTTTGCTAGGGCCTGTATTCAGCTGGGATCCACACACATTTGGTGTATCGACATCACTACGAAGGTGTACTGTATGTGGGACTGACTCACAAGTAAACTGCAAAATATTTGACCTCATGTGGCTTATATGTGCATTTTTTGTAGTTTTATTACAACAACCGATAAAATATGGATAACCACCAGCCTTATCTTTTAATGTTGTTAGATATCAGACCTGAAGTTCCAAAACTAACTATAACACTGTATTGGTATTGTCTTTGGTCTGTATGAGAAGTGTGTACTAGCAAAGAAGTTTTACCTGTAAGTTCTCCTATTTTCTCCAAGGTGCCATTTTGGGACCAGTGTAAGTCCTCGATGCCTCCGAAGAAGCAGGCGGCTCCCTGGTTGCACCAGAAAGGCGCGTACTCCTCGGGCCGGATATGAGGGAAGGTGCAGTTTCCCAGCTGGAACAGCTCATACCACTCCACGGTGAAGTTACTGCCTGTTTCTGAACTGCTGAACCCAATGGCATCATGCATGATATGCTGGGAAGACAACAGAACCATCATACTGGCTTTTTAGTAGACATGGTGGAAAGATGAACAGCTGTGTTTTCATAAATAAACTCACAGGTGTTACTTCCCTTTTTACAAGCCTACTACAGTATTTATAATTACCTTTCTGTGTCAGATGTACCACCTGATCACATGACATGGAAGCTATTGAAAATAAATGCAATGTAACATCTATTCATGAAACATCAGTGAATAAAAAATACATTTACTATATGTTTTGCATAATTTTCACTAGGAAGTTAACATGGAGGTACTAAAAATAACATGGGTTTTGTGCCATTCAAATAGTAATTTATTATAAGTAACTCAGTTCCAAACCCTGTGGTACAAGCATGGGCAGGGTCTGTGAAACTGAATGTGAATGTCTTGGAACTCAAACCCTGACATTATTGTGGTGAGATCTTAGCAACGTGACAACAAGAGAGTTTAGTACCTACCAATTTCCCCAGTAAATCTCCATACTTGAATTCCCACACAGGAGTTTGCAGGCGGTAAACTGAGATGACGTCGCTGTCTCTCATGGAGGGGATCCGTCCATCCCCGTCTCCGGTGGGACAGAACGGGAAGAGAGCTTCACAGAAAGAGTCTGCAGCGGGACGACTGTCAACACGTCTGTGGAGAAGGATAATGATGCATTACTGTGTACATAACTTTTTTTTATTTAGTTGTTTTAATTTCTTTATTAAGGAGTGCAGATTTCACAGGCAATTCAACCATTTTTCACATTTCCTGGTTTTGGTTTTCTTATTAAAAAGGAAATTGCAGAACTACCCCTCTTTGAATCTAGAAAGTAACTTGCAAGTAAAGTTGTTCAGGCGTTTTTATTGAGTGTTGAGTCTGTAAGTGGTTATACAAATATAACAATTATATACACAGGCATTAAAAAGATACTTTGTAAATGTGTACACAACTAATAAAGACACTATTCTCTTTTAAATGTGTAAGAACAATAACTCAGTGAGAAATAAATGAAGGAAAGGGAGAAAAATAGCAAGTAAAGTAATCAAATAAATGTAAAAGATATGTGTGTTACTTAGATGTGGTAAAGTAGTATAAAGTAGCAGAAAATGAAAGGAGTGAGGTAAAATACAAACACATAGCAATTTACTTTCACAGCTGATTGAATTAAAATGTGCATCACATGCGACTTAAATGAGATTTCATAGGTGCTCATTCACACATAGCCAAGAGTCCAACGTTTCCGAAGTCATGTGAACGCACCAGACGTGATATAGTTAACTGATTTCACATCAGCAAAAAGTCCGAATAATAATCAATAATGTTATTTCAGACCAAGTCAGTCTAAAAGGTCAGAAACGATAATCGGAACAAATCTCGTGTAATTTTAACTTTATTTTCTAGCTGTCCCATGACTTCACGGAGCAGAAGCAGGATATAAAAGTCTGTATTTGTACCTGTAAGGAACGGGCCACTGCTGCTGTGCATTATTCCTGAAGTGAGCAACAACATGGAGAAACAGGAGCAGGTTCAAACACAGAACAGAGCCCGTGTGAGACATGATAACAACTCTAAAACTGACTGAAAATGCAGAAGTTACGGAGACAGATTTCCCATGATCCTTCCCCTCTGAGCGGACTTCCGCATTACCGGTCACATGGCTTTGTTGATTATCCGAGATCACATGACAGGAGTTTTTTGTGAAAGCAAAGTTGAACAAAATGTTGAAATAAGTAAATAAATACATACAATCATATTTGATGGAAAAATATGTATCAATATGTAATTAGCTTATTTATTTTAATCTCTTATGCTCATTTACCGGTGTTTATTTTTTATTACCATGTTACTTTTGGGCCCTGATGGCAAAAGACTAATTGTGACAGTGACACAATTATATAGAATAAATAACTTATTATAAATATAGGAAATACAATAAATAACAATGGAACAATGAATCAAACGAATTACAAATCAATCAATCGACTAAAAATAAAAACAAAATTAGAGTATTAATTATTTTTAAAAATCTACTTCATTTAAGTTTTTTCTGTATCTCAATAATTTTAAATGTATCAATATTTAGATTTTTGGTTTGCTAAGTAGTCTTATTATTAACATAATTAAGAAAGACAAAAGACACACACAAAAAAATAAAAATAAACACGTACAATCTGCCATTAAACTATTTGGTTTGATATATGATGTCAATGGAGCAATTTAATTTATTTCAGAGGAAACTCAAAATAAAAACAGTAAAGATAAGATGCAACTGCAGGCTAGGACACAAGATGGCGATGAAGCTCTGGGAAACCGCTGGTTAGTGAAAGAAAAACAACCGTAGAAGAAGTGTGCGTCCTCCTAGCTGACAGTCCGCCATGCTCACACTTCTACACTGTGGTCGTAACGTACTGACATTCAGGACCATTCAGACAATAAACAAAAGTTACTACAGCTCTCAGATGGCTAAGCGCGTGGCTGTGGTTTTGGCGGGCTGCGGAGTTTATGACGGTAGTGAGATCCACGAGGCCTCCGCTGTCCTGGTCCACCTAAGCAGGGGGGGTGCGACTGTAAGTTTGATAGGACAGCTTTCACATGCAACTGCTAATGTGGCTATATGCTATGTTGTTTATATCTCACAGTGCATTGTTCGACCCACTCTGGCTCTGTTACACAACTAAATTACACGCAATGTGCTTGTGCATAATGGTTTTAAAGGATATGTAGGTTTACAAGCATCAAAACAAAACTCACATGACCATATTATGTGCGTTGTAAGAGTTATTGGTTGTGGAGTGGGAAAAACTCGTACGTTACTCAGATGGTATACAATAAGGAAAAAATAGTTCCGTGTAGAAATGTTTAAGAATCAAGTAAAAGCCCTGCATTCAAATATAATGTGTTATTTGATTTTTTTTTCTCCCATTAGTGAATCCAGTCCTTGTTACCTGATGAGACCAATCAATTAGGTCTTGTCCCTTCCAAAGTTGCCTTTATTTTAATGTATAAAACTCCCACTTTCCCAGACAAATGCATTAATTAATTTGTTGTATCAAGTAATTGGCAACAATTCGGACAACTTCTTAATTTACTGTATAATTAATCATTTATTAATATATTTTGGTTATAAAATGTTGGTCTGACAAAACAGGCAATTGGCTGACATGATGTTTGTAATATTTTTACGAAGAAGAAACTAATCATTATTACGTGTCCTAATGTTGTCTAGTGCTAGTATATTTGTATGTTATGAAATGAGTCCTCCCTTTTGCTTTATCCACTACAGGTAAACATGTTTGCTCCCAACATGGAGCAGATGCACGTTGTGAATCACCTGAAAGGCGAACCGTCAGAGGAGAAGAGAAACGTGTTGGTGGAGAGCGCGAGGCTGGCCCGTGGAAACATCCAAGACCTGTCCAAGCTCAGCGTCAAAGACCATGATGCTATAATATTCCCAGGTTTGATCACAACACGATAAACCTCCAATAAAGGACAATCTATATCCTTTTCCGCCCTTGATCTACAACTGCTTGAATGACTCAAATAATCATTTTTTATAATGATTGTAGGTGGTTTTGGGGCAGCAAAGAACCTCTGTACGTGGGCGGTGAAGGGGAAGGACTGCTCCGTTAACGACGAGGTGAAGGCCGTGCTGCAGGCGTTCCACGGCGAGGGAAAACCCATCGGCCTCTGCTGCATCTCACCTGTCATCGCTGCCAAGGTGTTTCCTGGCTGTGAGGTCACTGTCGGGATTGAGAAGGATGACAAGTGAGTCTAACTTCCCTGTTTCTTTGGGAATACATTGAAAGCAACAAAGACACATTCCTTGTGTTGGTACACCTACAACAGTGCTGATCTTGATTAATATTGTATATTTACGAATGTTGTGGTTCCATATAAAGCTCTATTAAGTCTTATAGGCTGTGCTGCTTGGAGCTGAAGACTATACTGACTTGTTTCTCTCGCTCTCAGCTAGCGTATTGGGATACATTAGCAGCTGCTAGCTCAACACAAGTTGCATTGTTCGTAATTTAGGCGCCACGTAATGCATAACATCAAGTAGTGCAATGCTTGTTTGTTGGGGTACACTTTTACCTTCTTATTTTATTATTTTGCAATGTCACTAAAAAGAAGTCTGATAACCAAAAATACGTTTTTTTGGGAGAAAAAACAAGATGTGAAGTTCATTTTTCGTCCTAAACGCAAAGTTGTACTTCATAAATAACCGGTTCTGTCTAAACTGCTGCCGTGTCTGATTTCGTAGCAAAAAAGCTTCAATATTTTTGGAAAATGTAAGTGTGTTCAAAATCAGAATGCTTGCATATCTGCATTGGAGCAGATTCATAATTCAATATCATAATGAGCCTAAAAATAGTAACATATATAAATCTTCACATGTTAATGGCTTCCATCTTTAAGCCTATTTTTCACATGTCCTTTCACTATTCACTGAAAAAAAACGTGTATTTCCTTATAAGCAGCTGAACATTGTTTGGTGCTTCTTTCTCTCTCTCAGGTATCCCAACACCACAGACACCGCAGCGGCCATCACCGAGCTGGGCTGCAAACACGTGAATAAGAGCGTCAGCGAGAGCCACGTGGACGAGAAGAACAAGCTGGTCACCACCTCTGCGTTCATGTGCGAAGCTCCAATACACGAGATATATGATGGAATTGGCACGATGGTGCAGGACGTGTTGAAACTTGCTTGAAATGGCTAATGCTCAAAAATGGAGGCTGTCGTTTTAGAGAGCTTAACAGTAGCTGCCTACTGAACTAACTGATATAATAATGATACAGTAACTCCAGGATTAAAAGCACCTCCAGATATACTACTTAAATATACACATTTGTAGCAGTAATGTGCACTATATGTTCTGATTAATTGAAAAAATAATCTCCGTTTGAAGCAGTGATTCAGTATTGTGATGTCAATGCAAATCACATTTTCAACAGCAACTAAGTTATTGTAAAGAAAATGCAATAAAATGAAAAAAAAACACGTTTGCTGTTCACTTTATTTCTTACCCCTTGGAAGCAATACAAATATTTACATTATGATTCTTGTGTTTAAAATATAAAATGTCTTCACACAGATATAACACACTCGACTCGGTACATCATTCTAATCGTATATTTACAATCTTCGCAGGCTCCTGTTGACTGCTTGTCAACCTGAGATATGAACCCAGGATTGAGCATTCTCTGACTCTCTCCATGTTTCCTACCACGTCGATCAGGCCCTCCACCCCCTCTGAACACAACACTGAAGAAGCATTAACACTGAACTTGTCCACCAGATCCTCCTGACTCAGTGGCTTCCTCCAGTGGCCGTAAAAGGTATCACATCTGGCTGCGTAACTCTGCCCCTGATCTGTTTCTATCTCAACCTCACAGTACATCTTGTCAAAGCTGGGTTGGTTATCTTTAGGGGTCTCCACTTTCACTTTGGAGAGGAGCTCCTTCAGTGCAGGCCGGTTAATCTGAGCTTCACTGAAGGAAGACACGGTCACTTTGTTATCCAGCAGGGCGGAGGAGGCGTTGAACTGAAATGAGTGCCTGGCTTGGTGCTCTGTGGAAGGCAAGGGGCAGTCGACATACTTGGAGGGAGGCACTCTGAGTGTGACCCTTCTGATCTGCCTGAGGTCAAAGTTTCTGGTCGTGTTTTCAAGCTTTGCCCGGGCTGCCAGCGCTGCATCCACAACCCAGTGCATCCCCAGGTGAGCAGGGATGCGTTTGAAGGCTATATCCTGGTCTTCCAGCATCCATTTAAAGTCACCAGAAGCAGGAACTGTCATTGGTGAAGGACTGTAGTCTTTGTAGTAAACCCCAAACCCACTGGGTATATCCAGGATGGCTGGGTTCCCCTCCAGTCCCATCTGGGCCAGCTGGGCGGCCTCCAGCCCTCTGCGAGCAGCGTTTCCGATGTGGAGAGGTTTGGTCTGCGTGGCAGCGTTGGCCAGAGGAGCCCCGGCAGAGGAGGCTGCAATGGCCAGAGCGTGGACGCACTCTGCGGGAGACAGAGCCAGGAGCTTAGCTGAGGCTGCAGCGCTGCCCATTACCCCAACTACACTAGGGGGGTGGAATCTGAGAGAGGGGGGAGAAGAGAAACAAACCAAGAGAACATATTTGAGTTTAAAACATCGATAATTAAGATCAGAGATTAGTAATTGAATAATACATTTTTATGTAATCGATGAAGTCCTTAAAAATATATTACATTTATTGAGTTTATAAAGTTATTACTGAAGGATTAGCTGGGTTTCACTTGCTCTTGTTTTGTTTGACAAAACAAGTAGTTTGAGGATGGGAAAGACAAATAGTGAACTATTTTCTGACATTTTATAGACTAAATGATTATGTAATTGATAAAATAAATAATCAGCAGATAAAATATTGGCCCAATAAGTTAGTTTGAACCCTATCTGATTCTTCTGGCAAAAACAACCACCTTTTTCTTATTTTTTTCCTACATTTATTTTCTTGGTGTTAGACATTTGTGTCTGAGATTTCTCTTGGCACTATTTGCGGGGTTCACAACGCTACAGCATGGGAACAAGTATTTTATTTAAAAATAAGCTACAAACCTAGCTGTTCATGAAAACTCTTGAGTGAGGTTTATGAATTTGTAATGAGGTGAGGTGTTTCTGGCAAGTGATGTTTCTGTTGGATGTATTTTTTAATGCTGTGATTACCACCTCCTTTCCTGAAAAACCTCATATAAAAAGAAACAAATGTGTCTGGCTTGATACTACCAGAAGTAGATGTTGTACTTTAGTAATTTAGGGGAATCAAACCCATGAACACTCACATATATTTACAGTGTCCAGCTTACCATTGGACATACATTTGCATATTCTCTGATTTTGGTCGATATGACTGAATATCTCACCTCTCAGGGATGTTGAAGGCCTCTCTGGAGAACCTCATGAGTCGGCCCTGCACTTCAATGCCCACATTGAAGGCCAGCAGCAGGTCCAGACCGGAGGGCCGGCTGGGCAGCGTCTCAGCGAGGGCCAGCAGGGCGGGGAGCACGGCCCCCGAGGGGTGAGTGGCCGGGTGCCACGTGTCGTCAAAGTCCATGGAGTGAACCTGTTACCACACAATGAGACAGAACAGATAATCGGAGGTCAAACCACATCATCTGTATGTTTTCTATATTTTGTGATGCATTTATTTGATTGAGCTTACCGCTATGCCATTGACAAATGCAGCGTAAGGAGGAGGAAGAGTGATCTGGGATTTACCCCAAACACTGCTCCTCTCGTCAGACTTGAAGGACTGTAAGCAGACAATATTGTGAGGATCAGTAACAGTACAAATGGATGTTACTCTCAGCTTGTTGCTAATTTCTATCAAACAATTATAAACAAATGGCAGCCAAAAAGGGAAAATAACTAACAGGCCTGAAGAAGCACAGGAAGCAGAATTATAATGACATAATCTGATTAAAAAAAGGAAATGAATCACAGTACAATCGATATATTTGACAGGTGTTAAAGACAGTAGTTTAGTATTTTAGTTTATTTTTAACACAGACACCTTCTTATGAGGGCAAATAAAGAGAGATTTAATGGTGACAGTTTGATACTAATACAACAAGATTTATAGTATCCAAATTAACACAGACAGATATTAATAGTATTTATTAAAAATATTATACAAGTCATATTTGTGCTTTTTTTGGAATGCTTCTTAAGTAATAAATCATCTTCATTTTCTCATTAGATTTAAAAAAAAATGATGTTATACATTGCCATATTTGAGCAGGTTTAACATACCCACACACAGTAGAGCAGTTTACTGTACCTGGCTGTACGTGAGAGCCTTGTTAAAGACAGCTGTCCTGCTGCCTATTAGCCCAACACCCAGGGTGTCCAGCATCATCCTTTTGCTCCTGCTAATCACACCATCTGTCAGCTTGGTGGTGTTTAGAGCATGGATGGCAGCGCCAAAGCTCTCTGTAATACCCTGCAAAGGTGAAACAGGGCCAGTCAGATCAAATGCAAACCACCCCAGAGAGAGTGCAGTGGTAAAGGATCGAACAAGTATTTCAAAAATATGCCTAATAAATGATATTAAATACTCAATATGTCACTTAATTTTATTTAAAATACTTAAAAAAGCTAAAAACAAATAGATAAAAGACGAAAATAAACATAAAAAACAAACATACCTTGCGTAGCATTGTTTGGAGCAAATGTCTTCAAGTGAGCAAACATTGCAGTGCAGCCGACTTTTATAGGTAATCACTCTATCTGAAGGCTGGTCTACCAACTTTCCAAAGTGGCTAAAGACCGCCACGATGAGAAGTAGGAACTTTCACAATGACTAGATGGGGTCAAATAAAATCAGTTGTTTCAGCAATTTCTTGAAAGCCATATCTTAGAAAATTAAAGAAGTGGTATAAAACAGCCTATGTTAGTTCAATCAGGAGAGACGTGATGTATTATCGGTCACATTATATAAATGAAACATAATGATGACAGTTCATAACAAGTGAATGAAATGGTGTTTTGGCGATTAGGCCCAGGTTTTGTAGGATATCAATCGGGAAGGGAAGAACCGTTTCCGACCCCCCTGGGTCTAGACACTGGTGGTGGTGATAAGTGGTTAGGTCCGGTTGGAAGGGAGAAGGTTAAGCTTGGTCCTGAGTTGAAAGCAGGAGGCGAAGGGGTGGAGGAGGGTTGCGCGTTGACACCTGGAAGACAGCTGATAGGAAAGGGGAGAGCATATATAGAGGGATTAACAGGTGCGATGATTAGGCTTGTAAATGGAGGGGAGTGATAGGTTAGCTGAGGAGTGGCGCTCCCTCTCATTTAGATGCAGGGAGCGAGTATTGCCATGACGTGCAATACGGAGTGATAGGTCTTCCTGTCTGAACTTGCGCTAAGCTTCATTTGTGTTTGCGATGGGTGCATGTTATAAAGGAAATCACAGAAGAAAGAAATACAAATCATCACAGTGAACTGTTGGCTATTATTAAGTCTGCTGAAATATATAATAATAATAATAATAATAGTAAGATTACTTTATTTTGTATCAAGTGACCATCTGACTTGGGCAGAGCATATTATCTGCTGTCTTTCACAACAAGTTCTTAGATGACAGATAGTGGAAATTCAGCTCTCAACAATGGGAAGTTTTGAACAGGGAAATGAGCCTCAACCAACAAATGGGCAGCACATGACAAGAGGATGTGCAATTAAACAGCTGGGACATTTATATTTGCAAAGCACACACTTTGACTGTAGTTGTTTAGAAAGATTTAAGTCCGCTTTAGTTTAAGTCTGTATTTATACACCGGAGGAATAACCCTCAACGACCTTGCTATGAATAACATGTTCCTCAAATACTAATTTTCCAATAAAAGTACAAAATGTATGTATATTAATGGGCAGATTTGCATCACAATGCTGCATCTTAAGCATTTCATGTTTATAAGTAACGTTTATTAGTATAGATGGAGTAAAATGTACAACATTTCCCTCTGGCAAGTGAGGTGGAAACACGGGAAGCTGCACACAATGAATATACTCAATGTAAAAGTATGTTGTTGAAGTAGCAAACATGTAAATGTAGTTACATCCATCCCACCACAGCTAACCTTCTTGACTGATACCCAACATATTCAATTAGAAATTTGAACCTTGATGGTCAGTATTTTTGTATCTCCTAAATTGTTCAAAGGGCTGTTTGAGAGTAATCTGTCCGTGTGTATGTGCGTGTGTGCGTGTGTTTGCATGTGTGTGTGTGTGTGTGTGTGTGTTAGACAGCTGCATTTCTATCAGAATTACAATGGGTGTCACTCTTTCCATATTTTCTAACAAATTCTTGACTTCAAAGCTAGAATTCATGTCATGGTTTCTGGTTCTGTATTTTCATATGCATGGGCAGGAAACTGAAATGACACACAATCAGACACACACACACACACACACACACACACACACACACACACACACACACACACACACACACACACACACACACACACACACA